AACTGCGAACCGCACTCGGCAACGAGTATGATTATGCCTCTTTCCAGGCTATTCTGGATCGTGCGAACCTGGTCATCCAAACGGACGACAAGGCCGCTAACGAGAAGCAGTCCCAGCCGCACTATGTGGCTAAGCAGGGCTATCAACGACCGACACATAATAATGTCGTGATTTCTGAAGAAACAGTCAATCTCCACGCCGCAGCAGCATCCTCGAGTGATGGAGGAATTGTCGCAGCGCTCCCGCCGAAGCGTCCCAAGAGAGTTCGGAAGAACAAGGCGACACAAGCGACGACATCGACGGGAACTGGGCAGCAACCATGGACAGCATACAAGATAACCAAGGAAGTATATGACCTTCGTAACGGTACGGATATTGCCTTTGGTGCAATGGTGTCACTCACTTGACCGCACAATGCCCCGAAAAGGGCAAGGCACGTGTACCCCGTCCAACGAACTCGGGAAACTGAGTTGCGCAAGGATAGAGGCGACGTCTCTCCTCACTCCGCCGGAACCGGTTGCCTTGCTAGCAATCGATGTCACTACCAAGGAGCATGTGTTAGTCGCTGATTCTCGTGCTACGTACGAGGATTATGCCGCCCAGCTGGTACCACCCTTAGACCAGTCGAGCCACGTGCACTTAGATTGCGTATGCGCAGCCTGTACACCGTCGGCAAGTGATCCGGTCAGCTCGCCACTGATTTTCGAGGACTCGACGGCGTGGTCAAGACTTGAGGAGCTTGACCCGCTCACGAGAGAGGACTTCGCTTGGAGGCCTCTACCCTCAACCGGAACCTTGCCAAGGCCGCATTGCAACGCCTTGATGGCAACTCTACGCTCCTATTTGCACACTACAGTACCAGCTCCGTTGACGGACGGCGGGGTAGCGGTTGTCGATCTCCRCTCCTATCTTGCGAAGATTGACCGCGAGTACGCCACCCAAAGGTACGCCGAAACCGACGCACCTTTGCTCTATATCCGCATTCAAATCGGAAAGGCAACCTGTAGTGCCTTGATTGATTGCGGAGCATCTCGCAACTTTATGAGCCAAGCCTTTATGGCCCACGCAGGCCTTGGCCCGCACGTTCAAAGGAAGACGCAACCTACGCAAGTTACACTCGCGGACGGCCGCACGCAAAAGTCAATTGACCGATGCGTCGACGGCGTTCCAATATACTTTGCGCCACTTGCGTGCGAGCCGGTGTCTTTTGACATCCTCGACACCAAGTTCGACATGATTCTAGGCATGTCTTGGTTGCGTAGCGCCGATCATCCGGTGAACTTCCATGACCGGACCATTCACATCCGTGATCGGAACAGAGTCTTAGTCCCATGTACGGTCGCGACCCCTCACACTTCGATTGCTTGTCACGTGGTCTCCGTTGCGAGAATTCGCGACGCAATAGCTCGGAATGACATCGAGGAGATGGGCCTTGTATTCTTGAATGCTCTCCCCTTGCCGGACGGACCAGCCGCGTCACCGCCGGACCCACTCATTTCTCACCTCTTGGACGAGTATAGAGACGTCTTCGAGGCTCCCACCGGAACGGTTCCGGATCGGCCCATACGTCACGGGATCACTCTCGAGGCTGGTGTCGTCCCTCCGCGTGGATGAATTTACCGCATGAGCGAAGAGGAACTCGAGGTGCTTCGCGCACAACTCGATGACCTTCTCGACAAGGGCTGGATTCGCCCTAGTTGTTCGCCTTACGGTGCCCCTGTTCTCTTCGTCTGGAAGAAGACCAAAGATCTACGGTTATGCATCGATTATCGGAAACTCGTCGGCCCTCTCCCTCGGATTGATGATCTCCTTGAGCGGTTAGGCGGCGCGACGTACTTCTCGAAGTTGGACTTGAAGTCGGGCTACCACCAGATTGAAATCCAGCCTCAAGATCGGTACAAGACCGCGTTCAAGACGCGGCATGGGCANTGGATCTGCTCACCAGGTAAGTCTGATTTAGGAATAGATTGCTTCTTCGATCTTCCAAATCAGCTATGTATTACTATCGAGATGTAAAGTTGCAATTTTTTTTCTTTTTTCAGTATTCTGTTTAATTTGGCATTCCGTTTCAATTCGGTATTCGGACTTTCAATTCGGATTTCTGTTTTAATCCGGTATTCTGTTTCATTCAGGTTCCGATTAATTAGTATTCTGGGTAATCGATATTCTGTTTTAATTCGGATTTCTGATTCTAATTCGTTATTAGGGTTAAATCAGTATTCTGTTTAAATCGGCATTCTGATTTCAATTCGGTATGCCGTTTTTTTTATTCGGCATTCTGTTTATATCCTGTATTTCGTTTTTCTAAATCAGAATTTCCGTTTTATTTTGGTATTGGAAATTAGGGTTACGATAAACTTCGTTTTTTTTTGTTGAAATTGGGAAATTCGAAGGTTTTGGAATCGTAAAACCGGAAATTCCGCGGAATCGCAGAAAATTAGGGTTGGGATCCGAAATTTTCGCGAATTTTTTTTTCTTTCCCTGGTTTGAAAAATTCCGAAAACGGACTTAGGCCTTTAAAAATTGGATTTTGTAGGTCGAAATTCCCGAAATTTTACGTTTTTCGAAAATTCAAGTGTTTTTTCTTCCTGATTTTCCGAAAAAAAAATTGGCAAACAGTTCGGAATCGTTCCCTCAGAATTGCAACTTCCGGGTAGTTCACTCATCAACAGTGAACTCCCGGACCATAGGAGATCTCAATGGATACCTAATCTTGTCACAATTTAAAATTCGGTAATTATCATTATTGCATTTATTGTTTTATGGATTATTAAGCAATATTAATTCGTTATTAATCATTTAATTCAAATTTTATTGATTATTAATTCATTATTATTTCTTATTACGAATTTTTGTTGATTGGGAAGTTATTTTTTTCCTATTTTGATTAGGTGTCTAAGTCCATCATTGGGACAGGGACTGTATGCAAATTGTTTGATTGTTCTACCCCTGTTCCCACTCTCCCTACCCTCCCCATAATCTGTGACCACCGGGACTTCTAAAGTACCACATCAGCTTGAGCTGATGTCGACGGAACAGGACACCGGGGCACTGCCACGACGCAGTGCCAGGCTCGCAGTTCGTAGCCGTTCTGTGGTATGTCCAAAGGTCTAAGTATCAGCAACAGCGACTCAGCAGGCGGACGACTCCAGCGGCATCAAGTACAGCCGCGGCAGTACCAGTTACCACCGGGGCTCTTCCCGCATGTCCGGTCCAAGGGGCCAGTGAGCCGTTGTCTGCTTACCTTCAGCGGGTACAGGCATTTACGGATGCCGTAGCTACCGCTAAGGCACAGCAGGAGGCAGCAGAGGCAGAACGTCAGCGGCTGGCCAATGAGACGGCAGCCCAAACTCAGCATACTGCTGAGGCTGACGCAGCGGCACGAGACAGACGGAATGCCGCCAGCACGGAGTCCTTGATTCAAAGTGAGAATCAGTGGACAACTCTACTCCAAGGCATGATCTTTGTGCCTACGGACGCGCAGGCGGATCCGACACCGGCAGAGGCAGAGAGAAGTAACCTGGCTAACTTGATGTTGAGCGTGATGAGGGGAGTAATGTGGAACAACAAACTGCTGCAGGCACACCTGCTCACGAAACGACAACGCAGACAGAAGCAGCAGCAAGACACTACCGCTTTAGCAGCTGCCGTCCGCGCAGCAGCAGCACAGCAGCAACAACAGCATCAGCTGTTGAACTCCGCTCTCGCACGCATCAACAACATTGAGGCTACAGCCTCATCAGTGCCAGGCTGCACGACTGACACGGCGAAACAGCTCAACGAGCGCATCGACCGTGTCGTCAGTCTAATCGGCGAACTAAGTGACTTCACCAGTCCGGCTACGATCAGCAGCACAGTGGCCGCCATCAAGACGGACATCACCAAGCTGCAGTCGCAACCGGCAGCAGCTGCGAAGGTATACAAGATGCCACGCTTCAACATCGGCAAGTTCGAGGACTACAACAAGACCGACGCTTTGACATGGTGGCAAGCCCTCCTCACCGAAGCGTCCTGCCACAAGGTCCCAGCCGAAGACATGATGAAGGCAATATACCTCCAACTCATTGGAGGTGCGCAGGCGTGGATGAACCACCTCGCAGTTAACAAGAAAACCACTATCGCCGAGCTACACAAACACCTCACGTGGGAGGATTTTGAACAACTATTGTTCACTCACTTCATGGTCCGCAACGTGGTGAAGGCAGCCATGAACGAGGTCTACACTTGCTCACAGGGAAGCATGCCAACTCGAGACTGGACAATCAAGTGGCAGAAGATAGTGACCACACTAGGTTTCGATTTGAGTTTTACAAACCAACGATCCGAGTTCTTCTCGCGATCGTGCGCAAAACTGCGAACCGCACTCGGCAACGAGTATGATTATGCCTCTTTCCAGGCTATTCTGGATCGTGCGAACCTGGTCATCCAAACGGACGACAAGGCC